GTCGCTGCGTAACAAATCGCCATGGTTCATTTGCTAATTATTCTCAGTGTCATCGCGACCTCGCTGGTAAGTGTGCTAATGATAATTTAGGGCCACAGATTGTGAACATATGAGGATATAAAATTCATGAACAGTTGGAACAAACTATGACACTTGAAAATATTTGTTAGAAAAAGAATTCCCGGCATGATAACATAACATTGTATTCTGTTACAGGCCTGCGCTCCGAATTCTGGGACAGCTGGTGCTGGAGGAGGGACAACTGGTAATGCAGCCGGAGCCGGTGCCACCAATACTGGAGGAGCGGGAAATGGTGGTGCAGGAGCCGGTGCCACTAATACTGGAGGAACCACTAATACTGGAGGAGCGGGAAATGGTGGTGCAGGAGCCGGTGCCGCTAATACTGGAGGAACCACTAATACTGGAGGAGCGGCAAATGGTGGTGCAGGAGCCGGTACCAATGGGCGAAAACGTGAAGTCGATGTCAATTCTCATTGAGCATGCTATAGTCAAGTGCGGTACCAAATCAACAGTTCTATAGTTATATACAATTGTAACAGAACTTTTAAATAAATCTTCAAATGATCTGTGATGTATCCTTGTGCAATTTATATGCTCATTTTTTATTTATCAATTTTTTCCCAGACAGAGTCCACTAGCGTGCTGTGCTATTTTCAATATTTCACCCCTTTCTCCCCCTCCCGAAAAACGTCGCATCAAATCTTTGTACCAACAGTTTCCATAAGACTCTTCTGCCCCGACGTTATCAGAATGTTTTGGTTTGTTAGCACGGTGCACGGTACGAGCTCAACGAGTTCCTCGACGGATCGTGAACTATTGTGACGTTATCACAAACGCTGGTCAAAAGCCCCTTTGGCACAGTAACAGCTATCGTTTCTCACCAGGAAGCTCTTTCATATGGATATAGAGAGGATATGGAGGGCTTTTCTAAAATGGTCTTTTGAAAAAGGTGAGATGAAAAATGGATCGTCTAAGGGATCGATCCTGGCTGATGATAAAATTTTGCATCTTGGAATAGCTCCTTCTAATCAGGAATGTCTTTCATGATATGATTTCGATATTATTGATTATTTTCATGATTTCGTATCAGAAAGTACTCGCTGTTGTTTGAATTCATAATCTGATCATTGGGTTTGACTAACATTTATCTACCTAGTGCAACGAATTATTGACCGTGTCGCTGCGTAACAAATCGCCATGGTTCATTTGCTAATTATTCTCAGTGTCATCGCGACCTCGCTGGTAAGTGTGCTAATGATAATTTAGGGCCACAGATTGTGAACATATGAGGATATAAAATTCATGAACAGTTGGAACAAACTATGACACTTGAAAATATTTGTTAGAAAAAGAATTCCCGGCATGATAACATAACATTGTACTCTGTTACCGATAACATAACATTGTACTCTGTTACAGGCCTGCGCTCTGAAGTCTGGGACAACTGCAGCCGGAGCCGGTGCCACTAATACTGGAGGAGCCACTAAGCGGCAAATGGTGGTGAGAAGCCGGGTGGCCACCAAAACTGTGATGACGCCATTAATTACTGGATGGATAGCCACTAATACTGGAGGAGCGTCAATGTGGTTGCAGAATGGCGGGGCTGCTACTATATCTGTGAGGACGCATTAAATCGGAGGAGCAACTAATATATCGGAGGAGCGCAAGGTGAGGAGCCCGGTACCTATAGTAGGCTGTAAAACTTGAATGTCGATCAGCACAAGCTATTGTCGAGTGCGTACCTCCATAGCCAAATCCGAAAATGAATCCAAACTACGGATGAGTGCCATCAGAGGACGGACGGTTTAGCCAACCACGGAATAACTCAGAGAGAATAGATCATTCTTGCCGTCCTTAGCCCCTTCCGCCTTTTCTCAACCCTCCTGACACTGACTGGCTAGTTATTGCATGCGACCAAAGAGTACATTAGATTGTTAGGCGGCTATGGCGTCGACGGAACGCCTGGGTCTCATCCACTGACGGCCACGGGATATGATTCACGAAGATTAGCACAATGAACATAGGCGGCAAATTCGCCGTTGTCTTCACCATTCTTGATGTGGACTGTGACCAGGTATACACCACAGCATTCGCAGACCCATTGGTCATTGAACTGTATAATAACACGACAGCGAATGGCTCCGACTGGAGATATCTTTAATAAATTCTGAAATTTACTCATTAGAAGCCACTGAAAGAGATGTTTTGTCAGTGGTCAATGGCAGCAGAAATCCGAAAACTGCCTCGGAATTTTCACATTGATGCCACTAAAGCATACTTCAGTTTTTCACCATGAAAAATTGCTGGGCTAACTGTTCATATTTGTGTGTATGGACATCATTATTTTCAGTTGAAGGAATTCGCTTCAACAGCTAAAGAGATGTCAACTCTCATTGAGCATGCTATAGTCCAACTGCGGTGCCAAATCAACAGTTCTATGGTTATATAATTGTAACAGAACTTTTTAGTAAATCGTTAAAGGAACTGTGATGTATCCTGTGCGGTTTATATGCTCATTTTTCATTTATCAATTTTTTCCCAGATAGAGTCTACTAGCGTGCTGTGCTATCCTTCTATTTTATAAAGCGCTAACTTTGTGTGTCGGTATGTATGTATGTATGTGTGTCCGTCCGCAAAATGAAGTGGTAGGGAAACTCGTGAAGTAAACAGACCGTTAACAAAATCGAGTAACTATGACTTTAGCAATCAATGTTTTGCAGTGCTATCAATGTGATAACACCCCAACGGCTATATAAACACCTACTGAGCATGGTCTCATTCATTCCACATGATGCTGCAATAGCAGCTGGAGAGCAGTAGAGGGAATAGGATAAGATGGAGAAGGGCGAGGGGAGCTAACCGCCAAAAGACCTGAGGTCCAATTAATATCATTCTAAGGTCATGTCACGATTACGGTAATGCCTTCTACTATATAAGACACTTTTTTGTGCATGCGTGGCCACCTTCCAACGATCGGTCATGTCACGCCAAGGTGGTGGGAGCACATTGGAAGGTAGGTAAGCTGTGGGCGCAGGTGAAAGAGGGTCAGGTGGGTTGCCGGCGGCGGACAATATTGTCAATATATTACACCCCTTCCCCCCGACGTCGCTCGATGAAGACATTGCAGAATTCTTTGTAATAATTATACTCATCGTACTATATAGAAAAAGAAAAGAAAGGTCACTCCTCTACACATATAAGGCGAAAAAACCTACACTTTGCAGAAGTGAAATTGAAGAGCACATTTCAGGGCTATTCTTCTTTTCTTCTTCCTCCTAGCTGGGAGAACGGGCCCCCGATAGCTTTGTTCCCGCATGTCCGCAGGGTCAGCTGCTTTGATCTTGCGCCGCCATAACAGTCTGTCTTCGGTGTCTCTGGGCCTGAGTTGCAGCGAGGCCATATCTTTCTCGATTCTGTCCATCCAACGAGTCTTTGGTCTACCTCTCGGCCTGCATCCTTCAACCTGCATATCGAAGGCACGTTGTTTGGCCACGGATTCCTGAGAATGCTTATCGCGATTCACATGACCCAAAAACCATGCGTAGCGGCTGCATTCTCTCATTTCACTTTGGGAATTGGAGCGCTGACGACCCATCGGCACTTTCTGTGACTGTCTTCGGTTCCGGTGGTCTCTTTTGTTAGGTTAGAATATTCGATGCCCAGTCGATCCACGCGTAGCGCATCGGACGATCTCCATCACGTGAAGCTGCTGTTCGTGCTTTCCGGTTGAGGGCCAGCACTCGCAGCCGTACATCGCCACCGGTCTCACTACAGAGCGATAGACCTTCGATTTCAGACTCCTTGGCATTTTCTTGTCACACAGGACTCCGCTGACTTGCCTCCATTTCATCCACGCAGTCGAAATTCTATGCTGCACCTCCATTCCAATGTCACTGTCATGTGAGAGTCGTGATCCGAGGTACTTGAAAGATGTCGTTTTCTCCAACTCCACATCGTCAACATGGACTGATGCATTCGTTTGAGTGCCACATTCCATATATTCGGTCTTTCTCACGTTCAATCTCATTCCAAACTTCTCCAGCTCAACTTTCCAGCTCTGGCACTGGCGTTGCAGCTCTTCTGTGGTGCCAGCAGCAAGCATCACATCATCTGCATCTGTATATAGCAGGGTCCATGGGTGCTCGTTCTGCAATCCACTTGTAATCGTATCCATGCACAGATTGAAAAGGAGCGGCGACAACGCTGACCCTTGATGCACTCCGACTCGTATTGCGAAGTTTTTCGAAGTCCCTGCAGCGCTCCTGACGGCACTCATGGTACCATCATAGAGTGTCTGAATGCATTGCACATATGCTTCTGGTACATGGTGCTTCCGAAGGGCATACCATATGAGGTCATGAGGAACTCGATCAAAAGCCTTTTCAAGGTCCAAGAATGCCATATGGAGAGGCTTTCGCTTTTCAATGTGCTTGCTAAGCATCAATCTGGTGGCATGGATCGCGTCGACTGTCCCACAGTTCTTGACAATCCACATTGATTGCTG